AAAAAAAAAAAAATGCGGATTTTGGAACGGTTTCGCTGTGGTTCTTGGGTCGGGTCGTCGCGCCTTGGCTTGGGTTGTTGGGTTTGGGTTTTCGCGGGTGTTTTTGGTTTTTTTGGGATTTTTTTGGGTGTTTTTGGGGATTTTATGTGGATTTTTTTTGGGTATTATGATCAGCGTCTTTTTTGGGTTTTCTGGGAGTTTTTTGGTAATTTTTTTGAGTTTTTTTGGAGATTTTTTGCGGAATTTTTTGTGTTTTTTTCGCGATATTTTGGTGATTTTTTTCATATTATTTTTGTGAGGTTTTTGCCATTTTTTTCCAATTTTTTGCCATTTTTTTCCAATTTTTTTCCAACTTTTTTCCAATTTTTTCCAAATTTTTTGGGGATCTTTTCCCATTTTTTTGCGAATTTTTCGCTATTTTTAGCCACTTTTTAGCCATTTTTTTGCCATTTTTTTTGCAAATTTTCCACAATTCTTAGCGATTTTTTCGTTATTTTTTCTGCCATTTTTTCACCATTTTTTCACCATTTTTCCCCCATTTTTCCCGTTATTTCCCGGAGTTTTCCCGGTGCTGCCGCTCTGGGCCGGCTGAGCGCGGGTTCGGGTGGGACTTTTGGCAAAAAAAGAAAAAAAAATGGAGTTTTTTGGTGAAAAAATGTGAATTTTGGAACGGTTTTGTTGTGGTTCTTGGGTTGGGTTGTTGGGTTTGCGTCTCTTGGCTCGGTTCTGGTTGGGTTCGGTTTTTTGGGCTTTTTTTGGGTTTTTTGGGGTTTTTTTGGGGATTTTTTTGTAATTTTTTTGGGATTATTTTGGAGATTTTTTCGCGCTTTTTTTGGGGATTTTTTTCAGATTTTTTGTGATTTTTTTTGGATTTTTTGCGATTTTTTTTTTATTTTTTGAGATTTTTTCTGTATTTTTTTGCAATTTTTTTGCAATTTTTTTTGGATTTTTTGGTGATTCTTTAGGGATTATTTATTTTTTGGAGAATTTTTGGACGTTTTTTCAGGATTTTTTTTTGGGGGGTTTTTTTGCGATTTTTTTTTTTTGCCGTTTTTTGGTATTTTTTGTTCGGTTTTTTTCGCTTTTTTTGGAGATTTTTTTGGGATTTTTTTGGAGTTTTTTTGGGGATTTTTTTGGGTGGGTTTGGGGTTTTTTTGATCCCAAATCCCGACCCCCCAAGCCCCTCCCCCTTTTGATGACGTCACCCCATCTCGATGACGTCACATCACACAGATTGTCTTTGGGTGGGGGGAGGGGTTTTATTAAAAGCGGGGGAGGGGCCCCGGGCGGGGCCGGGAGGGAAATTTTGGCAAAATCCGCGCCCCTCCCCCACCCCTCCCCTCCCCCACCCCCCAATAAATACCCGGGCTCCAGGAGGGGGGCGGGGCTTGGCTGCAGCAGCCAATCAGCACCGGCCACGCCCCGGCCACGCCCCCCCGCCGTGGGTCACAGCCTGGTCCCGCTATGGGGCACAAAGGGGGGGCTGTGGGGCACTCCCGGCCCCACTTGGGGGTCACTTTGTTCCCACTTATGGGTCAGTCCAGACCCCACTTGGGGGTCAGAGCCGGCCCCACTCGTGCCTCAGTTTCTCCCCACTTGGGGGTCAGTTCGGGCCCCACTTGGGGGTCACTTTGTTCCCACTTATGGGTCAGTTCCTGCCCCACTCGTGCCTCAGTTTCTCCCCACCTGGGGGTCAGTCCAAGCCCCACTTGGGGGTCGGTTCCTGCCCCACTCGTGCCTCAGTTTCTCCCCACTTGGGGGTCAGTCCCTGCCCCACTGCCGGCTCCGCCGTGGGGCTGCAGGGCCGGGGGTCACTGCAGGGTCCCCCTGTGGGGCACCGTGGAGCTCTGTGGGTCACTCTGGGGCAGCGCTGGACGCTGGGGGTCACTCGTGGGGCTCCGAGGGTCACTCGTGGGGCTCCGAGGGTCACTCGTGGGGCGCTGTGGGTCACTCGTGGGGCGCTGTGGGTCACTCTGGTTGGCTGTAGGGTGCTGTGGGTCACTCTGTGGGTCACTTGTGGGGCTCCGTGGGTCACTCCGTGGGTCACTTGGGTTCCGTGGGTCACTCGTGGGGCTCCATTGGTCTCTCTGGGTGGCCGTGGGGCTCCGTGGGTCACTCCGTGGGTCACTTGGGCGCTGTGGGTCACTTGTGGGGCCCCGTGGGTCACTTGTGGGGCCCCGTGGGTCACTTGTGGGGCGCTGTGGGTCACTTGTGGGGCGCTGTGGGTCACTTGTGGGGCGCAGCTCCGCCGACAGCGCGTCGAAGGCGTCCAGCATGGCGGCGCGGACGCGCTCGGTCAGCGCGGGGACGTCGGCCGGGCCCAGGCCGCGAGTGGCCAACGGCGGCAGCACCTGGATCACGCACTGCCCTGGGGGGCACGGGTCGGGGGCTGCCCCATAGATCTCTGCCCCATAGATCCCTGCCCCATAGATCTCTGCCCCATAGAACCCTGCCCCATAGCACCCTGCCCCATAGATCCCTGCCCCTTAGCACCCTGCCCCATAGCACCCTGCTCCATAGATCCCTGCCCCATAAAGCCCTGC